TGGGATGTCATGACGATATTGTGGCAGTTTCTGGCTACGATTCTGGCATTTTCTTTAGCCATGACCAAGGTTTATGTTGCTGAGAAAGCCTATACTTCAGGGAAAGACTCCGCGAAGGATTTGTGAGTACAGATTATGAACTTGTTCAATTCTCGAACCCGTGAACGACAAATTTTAACTGGTTGGGCTAATTTATTGGGTTCTGTTTTTAGAGAGCTTTTCTTTCACGTTACGGACGGACACCTAGTATATATCTAAGTGCCTAATGTTGGAAACAGTGGGCTAAAAGCTGATCGAGTGAAAGTTAGTGTTTCGATGGAAGCCCAACAGGAGAGAAAAACTGCTTACATCAGAATGCCAAACTTTACATGAAAGGCCGATTTTTGACAATCTTCATAAATAGTCAGGGAGGATGTCTCAAAAAGAGGCCTAACAAAGGAACTACGTAGCACCCCTACTACACAAAAGGTTTGACATTAGAATCTGATAGGTTGATATCCAGAGAGAGCATCGCTACCTCAGTCATTGTCACAATTGTGGAGTCAGTGACTTGCTTCACTCTAACCTTTAGAAGGGGACGGGATACTTCTGGAAGCACCCATAAGGATGGGTTCAGAAATATTGTCAGTAACATTTTCTACGGAACTACCCTCCCGAGTGAAATAAAATTGGGTGTCAAAGTTCCATCTTCCCCCCACCCCCCTTCAGTTCCTTAATATGGAACAATTTCGCTGGGTTAAACCGTAAACCATGACAACGGTTCTTTAACCATTTATTTTGTCCTTTTTTTAAGGGCATGCAGTGAATCAGGGATAATTTGGTAAGAGTAAAATTGTTCTTGTTATTTGTTACTCTAATTTTTTAACATTTTACACCAATGTCTGAAATACACCTCATGACACAAACTTTTTGCTAAACTTGAATTTCGCTTTCGTTTTAAAATTCGTTATTTAAAGCTTTAAATATTTAGGCAAAAAAATAAGCAACCTATTATGTCAGCTAGGTTTCACTCACGTTAAACAGTGATTAATGGATGGCTACCTATCTACCTCATGGAAAAGCGAAATAAGGTCTCTCTAAAGAGGGATAAAAGTGAGAAAAAAAATTATAGGTGTTAAAATAAGTACTGATGAAAAACCACGAGTTTTACCAGCTTCATCATGAAAACTTGCTGGCAAGACGCTGTTACCTTTCATGGCTGCAGCGTTACGAGAACAAGAAGCAGAGGTGCGACTGAAGAAATCCTCTTTGCTCCCCAGCCCTCGCGCGGCTTCACAGCCTGTTAAAAACGCTACTTCGCCACCTAAACTGCACAAAAAAGCCAGCTCAACTATTCCGTCAACCTTCCTAAGAGGCACCTTACAGTTTTTCCATCTGGAAAAAATATTGTATCATTTTGGATACCAAGACATGAATGTGCTGATAATTGAGCTGACCTGAAATCTGCGCCATGTAGGAGCAGTGACACAGTAGCTTCCGAGACGAAGATCTTTAGAAACAGTTATGACGGTCATAAGGATCTAAATTTAAAAAAATTGAACGGTTTTTTGATCTAACTCGTTACTTTTGTTCTTCAGTTGGTGGACCATGGCGACACACCTTGGTTGGTCTTTATTGTGCTTAGCTGACCTAGATGCATTTAACTCCGTCGACAATCCATCTGTTTCTCTTATTCATGTGCTGTACAGCTTCTTCTTAGTCATGGCAGTTATTCTTCTCATAAACATGATGATTGCTTTGCTTTCTAACACCTATCAGCAGGTTAAGGTACTAAACAGTCTCTCTGCCTTTGCTGAAGTATATTAATTCTGATCATAATCCTGAATTAAGAAAATATGATAGGTTCTCAACAATAAACAGACTTTTTTGGCGTAAAATATAGAATACATTTTTCGTAGAGTTCTTCAGATTCCATGATCATATATCAATGTCTTTTGGCCTAATGACGCTTAAGACAAAAAGATGTCAAATATTTAGTTTCTTAGATATGATTTGTCAAAATTTATCTTCCACTAACGTTGTGTCGCCTGCTCAGTGTTTTTAGACCAGCCTTAGAGGCTGTTAAGTCCCTCTTTATTACTCCATTATTAGGATAATTCACTCCAGGAGTGGTCTTTCAAGAGAGCCATTACTGTTAGGACTTACAGTACCTTTCATCCGATACCAGTCCCTCTCAACCTTTTGTCGGTTCCACTGATTGCACTCTGGAACCTCTGTCGAAAGTGTTCGTGCAAAACATCGTCAGACAGTCCTGATTCGCCTGAGGGCGGACGGGTAAGCTGGTAACGCAGTGCCAATTAATTTTGTGGATTTTAACAAGCTGCTGTTGTTGAAAGTTATAATTGATGTCTGCTCAGTGATTTTACTTCACTTTTGATGTGAGCCTTCTTTGATTCGACAGAAAGAAGCTCTGGATAAAGTGGTGAACAAACTACAAAGGGTGTACTTCGAGAAATACGGTTATGAATTTCCCCTCGCAGGTAAAGAGATATGCTAGATTGGTAGATAGCCCCACAAATCTATGATAAGGTCATAAAAATGATATGATGCAAATAGATGTTATTCTACCAAGACTTGCTTTGCGAATGTTTCTAAAGAATGTTTCTTTGCGAATGTTTTCTAAAGAAAGAATGTTTCTAAAGAAGTTCAAGTCCAAGACTTGCTTTGCGAATGTTTCTAA